TACCTCTTTATATCTTTAACTTTTAGTTTTACATATCTAACACTGGCCCTGAATTAGGTCCCAAAATGTTTTCATTATTTTTTTAGTTGCTGTTTTTGTTGTTTTTGAAGTTGTTACCTGTGCTGCATGCATGTAATACGAGCAACCACTTTACAGTACTTGTGAGTAACGTGAGCAACTATTTCACTGTAATTAGGATTGCATGTGTTTTGGACAGTTACCAGGTTTATACGAGTGCTCGGATTGTTTTCATAGGAAGGGCTCAAAGCAGACGGACCCGATAATCAAATTGTGTAATGTGAGCAACTACTTTCCTGTAAAGCCCAGGCTTGTGATGCGCATACACACACACTAACACACACACAAAGTGGCTGTGTATGGGTTCACTCTGACTGTGTTTAGTGGAAGGGCTCTAATCAGATGCCCCACAGTCACGATGAATCTGTGAATTGTTCATCCTTTCTTTAATCAGCCTTTTAAAAAAAAGCCTTGAAGTAAGCTGCAGGAGTTTCACAATGCCTACCACTGTACAGTATATCAGTGACCTAGTGCCCTGGATACAAGACAGCAATAAAATGAGCTATAAAGCATTTAGAGCACAGCTATGCCTGTATGAGTTGCATACCTGGGCTCCACATTCTCAGAGGCCACAGGTTCGCCGGTGACTGTATTGAAGGACCCTTAACTCTGGGCTTTTATTTGTCCCCTTGGACGCAAAGAATCTGGAGGCTGTGTGAGGGGTGCAAGCGTGTAAGGATTTTCTACATTGTGTATGATTTCCATGCTTTTTCACCATTTCCTGACTCTTGACCCTTGACTTTGCAATTTTCTTCAGGGAATTTCTTTAACTAATGAGGGAGACTGAAGTAAACTGTCAGTGCATTGTTGTGCTTTTTATGTTTTACTTTTTATAATTGTAGCTGAAAACACAGTGATTCTGAAACGGGGTTAAATGTTTGAGTAAGAACTTTATTAGGTGCACCTTGCTTGTACTTTATTGGACCGTCTGTTCTTTTAGAACAGCCTTAACTCCTCATGGCATAGATTCAACAAGCTGCTGGAATCATTCCTCAGGGATTTTGGCCCATTTTGGTATCCTAGCATCACACTATCATGACGCCGTTTTCTCAGCTGCACATCCGTGATGTGAATCTCTAGTTCTACAACATCCCAGAGGTGTTTTATTTGATTTAGATCTGGCGTCTGTGGAGGCTGTTTGAGTACAGAGAACTCATTGTCATTTTCATCAAACCAGTTTGAAATGATCAGAGCTTTGCAATAAGGTGTTTCTCTTGCTGGAAGCAGCCATCAGAAGATGGGTATACTGTGGTCATAATGGGATGAACATGGTCAGGAACAAGCCTCAGGTAGGCTGTGGCATTTTAAAAATGCTCACTTGGTACAGAGGGGCCAAGAAAATATCTCCACACCATTACACCACCAGCAGCCTGAACTGTTAATACAAGGCAGGATGGATCCATGTTTCATGTTGTTCACACTCTATCATCCAAATGTTGCAGCAGAAATTTTTGGTGAGCCCACTTAAGCTGTTGCCTCAGTTTCTTGTTCTCAGTGACCCAGTGTGGTTTTTGCTGCGGTGGCTGGGCAGATGGCACATTATGATGCTCTTCTCCATACACTGCTTGGAACGACAGGTAATTTGAGTCCTATCTGCTCAAAGCTGTCCACACATGTACCGCTGACCTCCAGCATTTTCACCCAGAGAACTGCACTCCCTGAATGTTTCCTCTTTTTGACCATTTTATAAAAACTCTAGAGTGGTTTCTGTGGGAAAATACCAGCAGATCAGCAGTTTCCAAATTACTCAGACCAGCCCCCCTGGCACCAACAACCACGCCACATTCGAAGACACTTAAATCACCTTTTTTCTGCATTCTGATGCTCAGGTTGAACTTCAGCACGTCTAGATGCCAAATTTCACTGATTGCTGCAGTGTGACTGTCTGATCAGATATTTGCATTAACGAGTGACTGAACATGCGTACCTAACAAAGTGAGTGTAGCTGTATTTAGACAGCTTTATTTGGTTCATGTGGACAGTAGAGAACAGAAGACCTTCATATGTATCTACTACTGTCTAATGATTAACCTTTATCAACATAATCGTACAATTCCACAAGACGTAAACAAGATAAGATGTCCTGTTCTTGCCCTTAAATAACCTGGATTATTGCATTCAACAGCAACACTGGGAACACAAAAATGTGATGACTCAAACTACACATTTGTTACTGTTGTTGCACGTTACCAGGTGACTCTGTTATCTTGATCTATTTTGAAATGCGTGCATTTTATTACTCCCACTTCAGAGTAAACCAAGCAGTGACTGTTCAGTAAACGTAAACTCTGTTTGCTAATCTGACCTTTAAAACACATATAATCTAAACCTTTGAAAAGTACACAGCTATGATCATTATGGCCACTCTAAAAGGTCTATGGATGTGATGTAGTCAGTTTGAAATGTAGTCTTCATATCTTGTGGTACATTGATTGCATTCAGTCAAAATCACCTTGTATTCATTACGGCGTTCTATATTTGCAGTAATTAGTTAGTATAGGGTGTCTCATCTCAACTCCCAGTGCTCTAATAGGTATGCAGCATAATGGAGTCTTTCGTATTTCTACAAATTGGTAGTAAGTTTAAGATTTGCCCGAGCTCAGTCAGGCTTTACATCAGGTAATGGAGGAGAAGAATCCAGTCGTTCCACCATAATACGCAGAAACCCCCTTTAAAAGACCTGAAACAGACTTCTCTCCATCAGCTGATTCAATCCAGCTGATCGAATCAGCTGATCTGACTTCCAGCAGATCCTTTCCCTGACTGACCGATGGTTGCTTTCATCAACGCTGCAACACTTCACAAGTTCCAGATGCAACTCTCTACTTTATTTCATGTCTTGGCAAAATTTCCTTTAAGCAAATGTCAAATTATTATATTCAGCTTGCACTTATTCTTCAAACTCAATAAATATGAAGCAATAGTTTGGAGTAAAATGTGTAATGTGAAAGGACCTCGGATATCTTGGAGCAGAGAACCGCGTTGTATTGTCGCTTTTCTCTTATGCATAAGCAACGCCGGCTGGTCATAAACGCTCTGTGTGGGTAGAAAATGGTCTGCACCGGCGCTGGTCCTGACACGAAATGGCGAGGGTCTCACGCTCTCAGGAACGCTTCATACACAATTAGTTTGAAAGAGTGATACTGCCTGCTTATAGCATTTGTTTTCTAAAGGACTGAATTTTATTTGTGACCATTTACTGTGTTAAAAACTAGCTGGCTTTGTCTCACTCTTAGTTCAACATTCCGAAATCCCGATTTTTAAATAAAATGATCGCATCAACCCTGGAAAGAAACCCCAGTAGATGTGTAAAAACTAGTTAAATTAAAACTAGGGGTTTGATTAAATGAAACGTTTGTGAACATGCTGACATTACCCATTCAGAAGAAATTCCCATTTGTGCCATTTTTAAAATAAAATGCTTGCATCACTCCAAGCTGAGATATTGTCAGAATCACAAAATTAGTGTGACTAAAACACTATTACCAACACTTTTGACTAGATGTAAATAAAAAGCATCCCCTCTTTGTTAATGTGCACTGTGAACCAAAACAGCTTCCACTCCGCCCGCAAAACAAAGAATTGCTTTTAAGAACACATATGTCTGCATAACTGAATGTTGAGATACACCTAAGTGATAAAAATAGTTTAATTAAAAAACCCTATGGTTTGATTAAATTAAAACCCAGTTAAAAACACATAAACTCATATAACCCCTTTGACGCCCTGTGTGTTTCCACACATGAACTAGCATGCCCCCGAGCATACCTGAACCACCAGCTCTAATTATGACATCACTTAGGTAGGAATCTTTCTAAGCCCTACTGTGAGCGACAGCAAGTAGGACAGCGCGAGATAAGGATGTGGCAGATGATAGATGTGGTGAAATCAGTGCATTGCCAGAAACCCTCAGCATTGCTGCCATTTCAGCTTATGCCATCACACAGAATGCAAATTTCATCAAGGAAAGAAAAAGCAGCTACAATGTGGAAGGATGTGGTTAATAGCCGCTCATTTGACTAGTTTTGGTGCTGTTATCATTATTATGAATTGCATAACCCATTCTTATGCATCACTCAAATATTATGGATAAATAAAACTAAGAAGTGCCTTCTAAGGGTGATCACATCTAAATTTGAGGTGGGTGGCAGCAAAATGAAAGCCTGACATAATGGAGACACAATCACTACTATATGATAAATAGCTTAATAAATGTTAGCTTTTTAATGGCCTACAGGAAACACTACTAAGGATGTAACAGCAGGAAAGACCAGTTTTCTGACTGATACAGGTAGCAAAAAAACATAGTGGGAAACAGGTTTCTGAGAAACGACCTAACATGACTCATATTCATCAGAAAATAACCCAAAATACGTGGAGGAAAGAGCGGGTTTAGTACACGCGATAGATTCTTAAGGTTCATAAGGAAGGGGAGAGCAGGTACCCAATAACAGTGTTGTAAGTCTTTTGTTGTGCAACGCTAAATTACACTACTCATTACCCATGATGCTTTGTGTTTCATTTTGTAGCCTGCATCTTGCGGGTTAACATCCCCTCGCCACACCAGTCCCAAACATAGTGCCTGTATAAATTTGGATTGAGACGCTGCACTGGCCAGCAGTCCCTCACACAGCAGCTCGTGCCCGGAACAAACCATTTCCCTGCCGGTACACAGGGGTGGCCGCGGTATTAGGAAATACTGGAAACGTAGAGGTAGGCAATATCACCGTGAATTCTCTGACACATTTTTTAAATTATATGTGAAATAACAAGCGAGCGTAACGACAAAGGTCCGGGGAAATAATTACAGCCATTATTCGTTGAGCATCCTGAGTGTTAATCCCGCCTCTAGCGCTCAGGTCCCCGCCGTTAGCTTAACCTCAGCACTGAACTGTTACAGGGAAAGCATTCACTTCAAGGATAACCGAAGCTACACATGTGTTGTTACATTGTCAGCGTTTCTGCTTTTATGTTCGGTGTTATAAGCGGGCCAGTCATGGTGGAAGGTTAAAAAAAGAAGTGATTATAAAAGAAAAGACGCTGGGTGTGTTTGTTATATCAGTATTTGGTGGTCACGTGGCCTGACAATGTTTATGAAAGGAAGAGTGGGATCTAGGTTACGCAAAGTAAACGACACGTTACGAAACCTTAGCTATTGTAACCCTCACTGCTTTTGCTGGGATTTAACAGTTAATTCATATTTAAGAAATGTTCTAAAGTTTAGAGGCTCTACTTCAATTAATACTACATGAACGAATAATAAAGAATATCATCATAAACTCTGGTGAGTCACAATAGTCTGAATATCAGAGATTTTTAACATAACAAGGAGCAGAGTGTCTTATTGCTGCTGTAATAACTATATTAGTTTACTAAAGGACAAATTAATAAAGAGTTTTACAAGTCAATGGATGGAGTTAAGGTAAAAGGTAGACATAGTTATTGAATGTTGGATGTCCATCACCGTGTGCACATTTACAAAACACCTAAATGTATGAAATAGTTCCCAGTTATGGTGAAACTGACACATTTAGTAAGGGGGAGTCCTGCAGTCCACAGATAAAGTACACACACCCACATTAGTTTGTCCTTGACACGAGCATCGTAGATAAGTGAGGCAGCCAAACCAACTGCCAGCAGACACACTCGGCTTCCTGCCGTTCAGGCTTGGCTGCGAAGATGTGAGATCTTTCTTGCCCCCTTCTTTTACTTTCTTGTACTTTATTTTTGCTCCAAATAGTCCGAACGAGTTGTGAGCTGTTATTTGCTTTCATCCTGATCTTCTCCGTTATCTTTTCCACCTTATTCAGGGTTGTGTTCGTATCATTGCCAGAACCTGCGATGCCTGATCAACTGCCTCCAAACCCTGCTGGGACACTGCTAAACAAGTTCCCCCAGGGGAGCCTGCCAATGGGAAAAGAAGCTACCAAAGACGGCCTACTAGCCAGAGGCCAGTGGGCCTCCAAGGCTGAGTTCCTTCTGGCCGTAGCCGGGCAGATCATCGGTCTGGGAAACGTCTGGAGGTTCCCTTACCTCTGCTACAAAAATGGAGGAGGTAAAGAGAGGAAGTAAAACTGGCATTGTCTAAAGTGTCTTTGTCTCTTTTTTCTCCTTTCCCTGTCCTATTTTTCCAGTCTCATTCTCAGAATCATTGTGACTTGAAATTAAGATTAAGCTGGTCTGAATGTGATCAGAGAAAGTCCTTAAAAGCACCTTTTATGTTTGGCACAGGGGTGTTTTTTGTACCTTACCTGTTGTTCCTGGTGTTGTGCGGCATCCCCCTCTTCCTCCTGGAGACCTCACTGGGACAGTACACCAGCCTGGGAGGGGTCAGTGCCTGGAGGAATATGTGCCCATTATTTGGAGGTACTCTTATTTCCTTTTGTTTTATGTAGCCAACAGTAATATCAGCCAATATTTTAATTTTTTTCCTCATTATTTAATCAAATATGTATTATTGTTACTATTAGATGCATATTAAATTCAGTCTTCCAAAGACAAATGTCTGTATAACTGCATGCACGAGTTTGTGCTTGCACCTCTTTAAAATAGATGTGTGTGCGTCTTTTCAGTCCAGTATGTTTTTAGTGCACTGGTAGTGTGGTTCGGGTAATTGCAGTCATGACAGAGCCTCCACCGTGTTTTACAGTTGGCTGTAGACACTCACTGTTGTAACTCTCTGTCTATACATGTTGATGTTCTTGCATAATTTTTCTGGGAAACAGGAAGCCTTTTCTTCCTGTTTCCCTCCATTAAGAATGGCTTCATGACAGCCACCCTTACTGAGACCATTTCTGATGACGCTTCAGTGAACAGTAGATGGATCAATTGAAGAGCCAAATGCATCTCTCAGGTCCTGTTTCATGTCTCTGCTGGATTTTTCGTATTTCTTAAGGACATGACTTCAGATACTGTTCATCGATTATACATTTTAGAACTGCCTCTTCTTCTTTTGCCCTTCACTTGTCCAGTTTCCCCAAGGACACACTGTATACCATGCCAAGATATCTTGAAGAATCACTTTGTTTGTATAAAAGTACTATGTTACATCTATCAGACTGTGTTATCTTTTGTAGATCAAAGTAAAGGAAGTCGTAACAAATTATGTGTTTTTGTGACAGGCTGCTAAAGATACAGTTTAAAATTGTATCTTGCTAAGGTTAAGTCTGTTAGATCTAGACACAAGACTGGTTCATCCTCTGAGTTTGGCGCCTTTTTAATGCTTGAATGATAGCTCGGTGTTATTTAGCTTAACAAACAGGTAAATGAGTGAAAAAGCAGCCAATGTCCAAGGAAAAACTTTGAAAGATCTTCAGAAAGTTTGGAGAACTATTGCTAAAGACCACTTAAAAAAAAAATTACCAGAAAGTCTGACTCCTTGGAACCAACTTATAAAGAAGTTGAGGGGTAGCTCAAGATTTTTGCCCAGTGCTGTTTTCTGGTTTTACCCCTTGCCTTTTTTTTCTCATTCTTCACCCATATTGGCGCAAGCATTCAAAGCTTCCACGTTAATACAAAACCTGTACAAACAGTGTGTCTGCAATCAGAAAATGCCAGCTGTGTGCATGTGCAGTGGAAAGTGTAGCTCAGCTTGTGCTTTAAAACAGCTCAAGAGTGCAAAAGGCACCACGTTCCCTGCCGACCACGAACAGCATGCAGAGTGTCTTGTTTTCTTTGTATCTCGCTGTCCAAGAGAGGAGTTTCAGATAAGTATTAACCAAACACACAATCACAACCCAACAGTTTCAAGTTCATCTTTCACCTTTAACACAGCAGTTGAAAAAACCACGGGACAGATGGTGTGAGGGATAGAGCAAGTCTATGTTATATGAAGGGACCCTGTGATGAGACTGCTCTCATCTCCAGAGTGTCACATGGACACATCACATTTTTCAAGGTGTAGTGTTAATCTTGTAAAGAACCATAACTAAACTCCTTTTCTTTTTCTCCATAACCTACCCAAGCAGGTTTTAGTGCTGCGACCTTACCAAACACTAAGAGAAACTGCAAAAAAAATAATAATAACAATAATAATAATAATGCTTAACTGGACACGAGGCTTTTGTCATTCACAGCTTTGTGTTCAGCATTGCCAGTTGACACCTTGTGGGCATTTTTGTGACAGCAGAGGCTTCTTACAAAACACAACAGTCATCTATTTCTTTCTCAGATTTAGACAAGCCCCAGAGCTGTTTCTGTGTTTGCGCAACACTTTAGCAGGGTGTGCCACTTTGGCATGCATGGGAAAAAAAAAAAAAACAATATTTAACCTGCCACACAGATTCCAACCAGTAGTTAGCAAAGCAATGCAGCCCTGAGGGTAACGGCCATGTTTCTAGAGAAAGTGTGAAAGAAGTTGCTGAAAGGGACAAAGAGGGTGTAGAAGAGACAAGACCCAAATGTTCCAGTTACGCTTGTCCATCTCAGCTAATGCTAATAGCATGCTAGCTGCTGGACCGCCTCTGAAATTGGTGTATGTGTGTGTTCGTGTCAGTGGAGCCATGTTTGTTTGTTTTTTTATTTAATGAAAAATTATTCTTGTCCCAACATTTGCCACTCTGGCCCATATGGCCTGCAGATGCATGCGTGCACAAACACACACACACACATATCTGCGCACACTCTGTTTTTGTTGACAGCTAGCTGCATGAAGGCCATGTGTTTAGCACTGGAATAAACTCCTGCACTTCCTCGGGCACATGTCCTCGTACTTATTGCAATGTTGGACAAAGAAAAGCTTCTGTTGGAATTCCTCGCTGGTTTGTGCGGTTAGCGTGCCCGTCGTCAGATGCGGCCTGAATTTCATTAGCGGATACCACAGACAGCTATTTGTCTAGCCAAACAGCCTACACTTTGTAACCCACTCAGGGCCTCATAAGACTATCATTCATATCTAATGAAGATGTACTCAGTGTGGGCTGCAAGTCGAGTGTCTGAGTAACGGGATGCTTTCATCTCAAACTCAAGTGACTTGGAACTGATAACAGAGGGCGTGTTCATGGAGGCTTTGAAGCTCGTTTATGCCACTCTGCATGCTCACATAACTCACCACACGTGTCCGCTTGTCTTCTCTGCAACTTGTTGTGTCTCCTTAGGTCTCGGCTACGCTAGCCAGGTGATGATCCTGCACGGCTGTGTTTACTACATAGTCATCCTGGCCTGGGCTCTCTTATACCTGTCCTACAGCTTCCAGGCGGAGCTGCCGTGGTCGCACTGTAATAACACGTGGAACACGAGTCAGTAAAAACAGGAAATCAGAAGCTGTCGTCCTTGCAATTTGACGCTACCATGCAAAAGACTTTAAGAGGCAAACTGGGGTCTGTTGTGTGTTTCCTCCTGCAGAAGCGTGTTTCTCATATGACTCCTACAACCAAACGGCCAATGCGAGCAGCCTGCCGGAGAACGCCACTTCTCCTGTCATGGAGTTTTGGGAGTGAGTGTAACATCTTTAGAGTATTGATGATGAAGCTTGAAACAGTTTTGGTGCTAACACCTGCTGCATGTGTGTTCAAAGGCGGGAGGTGCTCTGCCTGTCCAGCACTTTGGACGGGCTCGGCCCGATCAGCTGGAAGCTGGCTCTGTGTTTGGCCGCCGTCTGGCTTATCTGCTACTTCTGCGTCTGGAAGGGAGTCAAGTCTACCGGGAAGGTGAGGAGTCGACACATCAGCTTCATCAAGTTCCCTCTCTGTCTCAGCTACATGTCTAAGCTGCCACCATAGACAGTGTAAAAGATGGATGCATCCATCTTTGGTGTAAGATATGTCGAGTGCACGCTCATTGACTAACAACTTGTGACCAACAAGTTTTGGGAGTCTGGCCGAAATGAGGGACTGAGCCCATAAGCTCAGCAGTAAAGTGTTCAGCAGTCATGTCAGAAAAGCGTCTTCTGTAGCACCAGAAAACTTTTAGGTAACCATACTGAATGCAAGTTTTTAGACATAGCATTAGCATCACAGTTCCAGCCTTGAGGCTACGTCCATGTTTTGTGCTATCTGTGGTTTCCAGGTGCTCACCCACATCAAGTGATAGAAACAAGAGTGTGTGAGCTCTTGCGAATGTTCCACTTCTGACACTTTTTTTAGTTTTAGTGTTTGAATTTTAAAGTCAGCATTTTGTGCCCACAAAAATGGATATCATGAGAAACTGCTTTGACCTCTGTGTGAAAACTGTTTTTACAATCCCCCAGAGCACAGGGTCAGATAAATATAAGTGTCACTGGAGGTGGTTGCCTCTCGGTAACTTTTTATACGGTGTGCAGCAGAGCCAGCGCTTGCTCACTTGTCAAAAACAGGGCTTCTCTACTAAAATATGAAAAAACTAGGCCCGTCCTGAATTAGGGCTGCCACGATTAGTCGACTAGTCACGATTACGTCGACTATCAAAATCGTCGA